TCTCTCTCTCTCTCTCTCTCTCTCACGCACACCACCTTTCTGCCTTGAGCCACACCTAAAAAGAAACGTCCCCAGCTCTTTCTGTTCTTTCTCAAGATTTAATAAACATCATATCAGTTACACAGAAGAGTTACGCAAACAGAAGGTCAATGCAATGGCTTACCTGCTTTTTCAACATTTCATTATACTTTGCTAAAGCGTCTTTTGATGCAAGCTGGGCTGCTGTTTTCTGTTCTTGAGCTGAGCTTGAGGGATGAGGTGGAGGAGGCTCAGACCCAGGGACTGCTCCATGAGAGGAAGAGGCTTGAGCGCTAGTCTTAGTCTCCTCTTTCGATGATGACGGAGGTGGAGGGGCTGCATCTTGGGATGATGAAGACTCGGCGTTGGTTTTAGTCTCATTTTTTATTGAAGCTGAAATGGTTATTGTAGTTGTAATTGGAGATGTTTAACACTCACATCAACACACTCAGTTTTAGATCATTTGTGTCATGACATGTGAGAAAGGGAGGAAGGGGAGGGCCAGGCTAGGGGGGAGGGGTTGTAAGTGGGGGATGGGAGAGTAGCACTTGCCTTACCTCCTCACCCCCAAACACCTCGACACACACAAACACACACAATATACAAACACAAACACACAAAAACAAACCCAAATATATACACACTTGCAAACCCATACACAAACACTGTTATTTCTCAACAAGGGCCTATATTAAATGTGCAATTCTGTATTTCATATGTCTCCTTCATCCTGGACACATTACTGGTACATGAAAAAAAGAGAGAAAAAAGAAAGAGTGCTGTTCCAAATCCCAGATATTCTAGAGAATCTGTTCGTAATTAGATTCATCAAGGATCAAATAGAATTACTAAGAAAGAACTGGACATTTTAGGGTTCTTACTTGGTTCATTTTCAGCACCCGCATCTTGAGACTGCTGACCTTTGACCTCCTCATCCTGCACTCTGTCTCTGTCTTGGCCTGACTCAGCTGTTGGTTGTTTTTCAGTGGAGGTGCTGGACCAGACATAGATGAATAGGAAAGTGAGCATAATCATCTGTACACGTACACCTCTAGTTTTTCCTTCACCCGGTCCTGTTGGCTAACATTTGTGAGGCAGCGTGGTGGAATCAGGCTCTCGTCAATTTTGGGGCATGTAGAGTTATTGATATCATCTTAAAGCTTGTTCACTTGTCTTTATTTGGAAGAAAACAATATCCATTTATCTTCTATACAAGTCAAGATATATGCAAATGAAGGAGGTGGAGGTCACCTGTTTTCAGAGGTAAAATTCGTGAGAAAATGGCCGCCAAAGATTAGTTATTTCCTTAGCTTAAGAGTCCGTGGTAACTGTTAATTTACATTTTTTGTGTCTTTAATCAACGTTTTTCAGAAGAATCAACAGAGAAAGTTCTTTAATACGCATGAAAGGTGTTGTGCAAAAAAAAAAAAGTTGATAAAAATTCACAAACCTGCGGAAAAATGCAAGTTTCTGCACTTTGATTATTTTGACGAGAGCCTGAATCCACCACGCTGCCTCACAATTACATAATTCTAGAACAATCTGTGTGAGAGATCTTCAAAAAAAGAAGGAGTCAAGTTTTTTTTTGGATCAACCTGTACTTTAAAAATCCCATTGAAGTCATAGAAGACAGCTTTCTAACTACTAATAAAGACAGAAGCAATCACAACAAATTCCACCTGAAATTTATCAAGCAAAATAACTCTAGGTCTGAAACTGTTACCTTTGTCTTTAATTTGTGAAGTCTGAATCACATTAACGTGCGTGTCACTTGGTCAGCTTGAAAAAAAAACACACCCACAAGCTTCAAACTGATATGAAACACAACTATAGACACTTACGGTGGATGGTTCTTGGATTGTCCACAGCCCATACCGACATCGATGGATGATGATTCCTGAGAAATATGTTTTACAAAAATAAGAATAGTAAATGTGCATAAATTCAAATAAAAAAAATAAAAAGCAAACCACAAAAACAGTGAGTGCTCCAAGCCAGACTGTGTCATACATCACTATATTAAATGGCATAATATTTATGGTGGAGTCCTACACCTCACTAATCAAACAGTCAACATATTCTTTTTTAAAGAAAAAATGGTACGCAAAGAGGGGAGGGACAGCAGTGCAGAATTTGAGACCAAAGAGTCAAACATTCCACTTTCCAAAGTTTTATTCAGATTTGAAGAATTCAAGTAATTGGCTCAGTTGACTACCTTTCCTCAGGATAAACAATTGTTTTGTGCAAATTATGATAGGGCCAAAACATTAAAGAAAATATCAACTGTAATTGTCAAGCATCAAATTATGGGACAAATTTTAGGAAGAAGCCCCCTTGGTTCCCTGCATCTCCCCTCCCCGAACAATTTTAAAAAAACTCTCAGGCAATGTTCTGTCACCTGCTTTCATCTCCTCTTTCTGCCCCCACCCCCACACCTTCTTTGCCCCCTCCTCTGGGCTCCTCTCATGGGCTCCTGACTCGACTTTCTTCAGCCTTTCTACTATCACTCCTGCTCCTCCTTAATCTTTCAGCCACACCCCAGCGATCTTCTGGTAGGAAAGATCTACACCTAGATTCTAGCCTTCTCGGACAAGGGCGAAAAATCTCGGAGGGCCGTGTGCACATCAAAGATCCCTTAGAGGTCTAAAATTGATAAAAGTTGGCTTCGGCCTCTACCCGCGCAAAATTCAAAATTTCCGACCAACTGAAAAAATTTAATGTGTCCCGCGTGCTCAAATGCCTAATGCAGTTGCAAGCGCCATAAAACACTAACCAAAACAAACAATATAGCATAGATGGATATTTTTTTCACCAAAAGCAAGGCAAATGAACATGAGGCTTTTTTAAGGCGTTGATCTATAGTCTATACATCTCTATAGATTCTGGTCTAGATTCTAGACCTAATTATGACTCAGATAGAAGAGCAATTTCAATTCATTTGTCGATCACCAGAATGAAAATGTTTTCAATTTGACTCGAATTATTAACTACAAATGTAAAATCTAGATCTACATATAGATCTAGATTTAGATCTAGATCTAAGTGAAACTCATTCACCTGTATCAGTTAGGCCAACAATAGGTTACCTGTAAATTTAGTCTTCAGTCTTCAGTATCAGTCAAGTAAAGGTAAAAGTGAGAGTTTGCGAGTCTGCAGCTTGTGTTTATAGCCTGAGCCACCCAAGGCCAAGTAAAAGAATCCTTTCACAGCACAAGTGAATGCATTATCATATCCTCACCTTTTCAGAAACTTTTTTGAGTTCGCAGTTCTAAATATCAAACGAATATAAAACTCATTCTCGCAGTCTTTGCCAGCGGCTCCCCATGTCAACACACGAAAGAACAATTCAGAGTCACTTCCCTTGCGATATGATTACATTAGTAACAAGTACACATCTAATCGTTGCTAGGGATTCCGATGAGGTAATGGGGTCCTCTTTAACCAGTGTTTATTCAAAGGAACGTTAATGTTTAGTTAGGGGGGAAAGTACGGTATCTTTAAAACAACAAGCTTATAAGGACTGGACAATTTGTAAGAGTTTCGGTAACAGATAAAGCACTGCACAGTGGAAGAAACAATTAAAGTCAGTGGTCGATATAATGCCTAGGCGAAAAATAGCCTGTTTTACAGACACCATCATTGTGATACATTAACTACAGATCTAGGGTAAATATAACCTTGGTAAATTTGCCTCAGCTTCTCCTTCAACTATTCCCTGGCATAGCCTAAGTTTAGGAAAACATCAACGGACAATTTTTTAGATCTAATGTTTGCCAACATGCATGCAAATAACAATCAATTTGCATGAACGATAAGTGTGGTATTCATTGTGACATGTCAACAAAATCCAATAGGGCCTAAGGCCGCCATATATACCTGGAATCGAAACTTTTTTCTCAAATTGGATTGCGGTTTTAAGACTCTTTACGGA